TTGACAATAACATGTTTTAAAATTAATTTTCATGCGACCGGTGACTGTCAGAGACGACTAACCTAATAGGTTATTTATACATATACATGTGGTATATCATATATACATTTTAGTGAGGTTACTTCCATGTACCTAGTTTTTATTTTGCGTAAAATAAAGAAACTAGGAAGTGAATCGCTATTATAATATTGCAGAATCATGAAAATTAGCGGCCATTTTGGATTTATGCAAATTAGGGAGATTTGCGTTAAAGGATTTCTTAGGAGTTTAATTTAAACAAGATACGATCAGGAAAGTTACGTCTATTATAAGATAAGTCAATTATATAGATTATGTAGATAAGTCAATGATGTGATAAGAAAGGGAATCATGACCGCTATCTAAGATGATGTCGTTGCTGTTTGAATAGCACATTTGACTAGCGTATATATGTGTACTGCGATAGATGTTTGGAGTTAGTTAACAGCACGTTTAATTTGTCGTTCCCTGCTATATTGGCCTCTGTGTCTGTATTTTCCCGCCAACACTTTAAATGTGGCTATTGGGTCATGGACATAACATCTAAGAAATTTGAGGCAACGTAAATGCCATGAAGCAACAGAAGAATATCTGAACATATAACGCTGGATTGGTTCTTTGCCAAGAAACTCATTAACGAGTTTCACAATCGTGTTATATTTAACATTAGGGTTTCCTACACAGCACGAGCTCACCCAACCTACATATAGAGCATGTGGCCAGAGTGGCTTGAGACGAGGGCCGGAGAGTTAGCGTCATCTAGCGAAAGTTGCACGCCTCGCATCAACTTTTTCCTGTTTGTGCACGTGTGCATGATTCCAGCTGTAAGTGAATCCACCACGAATGTCACCAACTAACCTAATTTTCCGTTCTAATACAACTTATGCACACAGGTACACACAGGTAACAGCTCTGTACGCCAGCTGCCAGCCACTCCCACACGGTCTACAAACGAGGTCCCACTGTAAGGAACATTTAGGTACACACAGGTACACACTGGCAACAGCTGCACCATACACTACACACACGGCACCTGTACTATCAGGAGTGAATAATAATAGATCCATTATTATTCACTCCTGGTACTATGTAGCATAGAAGCATTAACAACATTACCCACAATATGTTATAAAGTTATTACACGAGTTTTGAACACAAGCAAATCCGCAACTACAATTACCAACCAATCATAAATCATTACCAATCACCCCCCCCCCCCAGGTCCAATCGCAAAACATTTACGTCGGTGACGACGGTGCTGGCACCCGCCGGCATGTCGTAGCTCCACCCGTGCTGGCACGGCACGACCGTCCGGTCGTCGCTGTCATTGAGCGCTCCGCGGTACATCGAGCATCGTGCGAACGCCACCTCCCCGTCGCGCATCTCTCTCGGGATGCTCGCGTTCTTGCACTCGTCCGCGTCGAGGTGCGCGAGCGCGGGCGCGCTGCACCAGTGGTCGGGCGTGGCCGCGATGAACGTCGTCGCGACGTTCTGCAGCGACAGCGCGATGCCGAAGACGCACGTCACGATGACGGGCCGCACGTGCCAGCGTCCGAGGCTGCCCACCGCCTCCAGCACCGAGTCAAAGTCCCGCGTCGTCGTCAGCGGCTCCACGCCCGCAGAGAAGTGTACGTCTTCGTCCGCGTCGTCGGAATCCTCTGCCAGGAGGCGCTTTATTTCTGCCGTGGGCTGCATCGCGCGCGTCCTGCCGTTGATCGTGCGACGTTCACTTGCTGTTCCACAGACGTGCACTTGTTGTTCTATGGGTGTTCATTTGTTGCTCTACAGGCTCTCACTTGTTGTTCCATGAGTGTTTACTTGTTGTTCTACAGGCGCTCACTTGTTGTTCCATGGGTGTTTACTTGTTGTTCTACAGGCATTCATTTGTTGTTCAACAGTCATTCACTTGTTGTTCTACAGGCGTTCACTTGTTCTTATACAGACATATTCACTTGTTGTTCTACATGCATTTACTTGCATGTTGTTCTACATCTACAGGCATTCACTTGTTGTTCTACTGGCGTTGTGTCATTGGGAACAACAGACTCTCCCAGTGTGATGTGCACTTGCTGTTCTCATCGAGTCCCATGATTGTCAACACCGCCGGCCGGCTTTGTAAAATAAAATATTTATTAAATCATTACATGTTTATTGTACCATTAATTTTTACACAATGTGTGCTGTAAATTGTAATATACATAGATTTACTACATTTTATTTAGTACGAGCGACAAAACATCGTGAATTTGTGATCTATGTGGGCGGGCCATTCGAAGTGAGTGTCAGAGAGACATCACTATAGACTATTAAATTATGCCCTAGGTTTTATAATTTGACTCTATTCTTGGCTACACCTAGCTCTAGTACTATAGCCCGCGTACAGTTGCCGCAGGCCTGCGGCAACAGTACGCGAGCTATAGTACTAGAGCTAGGCTACACCATAATCCTCAGGATCCTACCAAATCATGGGCTGGACTTGCCCTGAGAACAATATATACATGTATATCAAGAGTTAATAAAGACAAAGGATCGAGTTTGACACGTATTTGGTACGGATTTCCCTACATTTTGTCGCACGAGTTCGATGTGAATAAAAAAACAAATGTATACAAACATGAGCTTCTTTTGTTTACTGGTCCTTATTCTATCTTCCGGTAGTATTACAAACCGCGTAGCTTCCTTCGTTTTGACATAAATCGTACTTTTGCACGACATGCTTTTCACGTTATTTACTGTCGTGTGGCGAGGCCAAGCAGTAAATTTGCATACACAGCAACTTGAAGAAGGCGCGGCAAGGCTTTTAGGCCGTAGTCTAGCCTAGTGCAGAAAATGCAATTAGAAATTGAGTTACGTTGCACCCATGCTGGGTTTAAAAATTAAAACTATTTTACATTGAAACTATAGTTAGAATGCCTTGTTTTTATGGTTGAATCCTGCAGCTTTTTTAAATAAACGCTGCTCTGGTAAAACATCTGAACTACTTCACCTGCGGAGGAATGATGTGTATGAATCTAGGGCGATTAAATTGATGCTCCAGCTGATTGTAGCTTTTCGCACGTGTTTTGCATAGCAACCGTTACTATGCAATTGCAGGCAAACGTATGTGTTTACATGCACCTATACCTTACTTGTCATGACCATCTGTATGTGATAAAGGTGAGAGTTAACGTCGTCATCACTCGGCTTTGTTAGCCGAACAAAAACTTCTTCGGGAGATAACGTACGGGAGACGCGATACCTGTCGCGCCTCCTTCAGGTTGCTGTGTGTGCGAATTTACCGCTTGGCCTCGCCACACGACAGTAAATACGGGCTCTAGTTACTATTACTTATTGATATATCTATATAACTATTACTTATATATACTATAGACTATATACTATATATATACTATATACTATGGTGGCCCAAATGGCTATCATCACTCAAGGGTGCATGACCATCACAAGTAGGTGCGCATCCCGCGATGAGGGGGTGTGGGTGGGGGTGCTTACCACGTAACCACGGTTCGGTGTCATAGATGACATGCGAATTGTTGACGGTGTACGGCTCCCAATAACCAGGTATGAGAAGGCTCAGAAAGGTGCTGTTGTTAATGGTGAAGCAGACTGCAGACGACAGCGGTGTGAATCGGGTCCAGCAGTTTACCGGGCGACACAAATGTTGAGCGCGTATTCTAACCATCATAACTAAATAGGCGTATCAGGCAATAAGTTGTGTTGGGTGTGTGTGGGCCTGCTGTGTGTGTGTGTGTGTGTGGGTGTGTGTTGTGTGTGTGTGTGTTGTGTTGTGTGTGTTGAATGTCGGTTGTGTGTGGTGTGTGTGTGTGTGTGTGTGTGTGTGCCTGTGTGTGGGTGTTGTATTTGTGTGTGTGTGTGTGCGGTGTGGTGTGTGTTTTTGATGTGTGTGTAGTGTGGTGTGGGTCTCGTGTGCTGTCTGTGTGTGTATGTGCGTGCGTCGCGTGCCTCCGTGCGTGCGTCGCGTGCGGTGCGTGGTGAGTGCGTGCGTGCGTGCGCGCGTGGGCTGGTGGTGTGTGTTTGTCGCATTGCGTGTGCGTGCTGCCTGGCGTGTGCTGCGGTGTGCGTTTGGTCGTGGGCGCGCGTGTGTTGTGTGTGTGTTAGGTCGTGGCTGTGCGCGCGCGTTTGCGTCATGGCGTGTGCGTGTGTCGTGTGGCGCGCGCTCGCGCGGCGTGTGTTGTGTGTGTTGGGTGCGGTGCGCGCGCGTTGCGTGTGCGCCGCCGTTGCGTGTGCGGCGTGCGCGTGTTTGCGCTCGTGCGCTGTGCGGGGTGCGTGTGCGCGGTGCTGTGCGTCTGTGGTCTGTGCCCCATGTGTCTGGCTGTCATAGTGCTAACGAGGCAGAGGCCGCGTCGTCGTGCGGATGGGTGAGTGGGAGAGTGCGGCGGAGGGAGAGACGAGGGGGCGGAGACTATATATTACGAGAGAGAGGAGATGCGGCACAGCAGTAAGAGGTTGATACACGGATGGATAAGATTGGCAAGTGTGATGAAGGCCAAGCAGCTAGCGGAGGAGAGCGCTCCACGCAGTGAGAGAGTGGGGAGATATATGCAGCGGGAGGAGTAGCGCGCCGATGGATAGAGGCGGGCGATGAAGAGGGAGAGGGCGGAAAAAGAGGAGGTGGTGATGAGAGGCGGGGGCGATGCATAGGATACAGTCATGAGTCTGTGACGACACGCGAATAGAAGTTGCACAGTAAAAGACTTCCTTTTTTACATATATATGCATCATAGAATGCATATTGGGGTCATATACTACTCACGGCAGGTCGTATCCAATATCCCGCATCGCTATTCCTCTGTGCGAGACCATTGAGTTGAACAGACAAATTGCCCGCTGATGGATGCATTTCATATCAAGTATTCGGTCATGTTGGACTGAAATTGCAATATATCGGCAATATAGTATATCAGGAGGGTATATGTAATTGGCTATTGCATGTAATGTATGTATATGTAATGTATTGTAATGTAATTAAGTATATATGGAGTAATTCTAGGGGTTAATAATGACAACGGATGTCATTATACCCTGGTTATATGGAATGTAGTGTGTATTAGAAGAAATTGGTGTTGGGTTGACATTTCGTGGGGTTCGAGTTACGCTGAGATCATGCCACGGATGCACAACAGCGAAAGTTGTGCTAGGGTGAACTTTCGCTAGCTGACGCTACTCTGCCGATCTGTCTCAAGCATTGGCGCACATTGCCGCTATAGTGTAGGTTCGGTGAGTCGTTGCTGGTGTTAGGAAACCTTGTTAAATACACGAATTGTGAATCGTTAATGAGTTTCTTGGCAAAGACCAATCCAGCGTTTATGTGCTCAGTTTCTTTTCTGTTGCGTTCCTGGCTTTCGTTGCCTTAGTTCTTAGGTGTTATGTCATAGCCGAATAGCCACATTTAAAGTGTTGGCGGGAATACAGACACAGGGCCAAATAGAGAAGCGACAACGTTGCTGGTTAACTACTCAAAACTCTATCGCGCTCACATATATCGCTGTCAAGTGCTTATTCAACAGCAACGACGTCCTCTTAGATAGCGGTCTGTTCTCGTTCTTTCCATCATGACTTACGTATGATCTATATATTGGACTTTATCTTATAATAGACGTAACTTTCCTGGGATCGTATCTTGTTTGACATCGAAGTCTAGATGCCTCCCCACGCAATCTTCCGATTTTGCATAAGCCAAAATGGCCGCTTATTTGCATGATTCTGCAATACTGTATATTAGCGATTCATTCCTAGTTTCTTTAGTTTACGCCAATAAAACTACGGTACTGAAGTAACCTCAACAATAGTATATATGCTATCCCAATGGAGTATGTTATAATAACCTATTAGGTTTAGTCGTCTTGACAGTCACGGTTCGCTGAAAGATTATTTTAAGACATGTTATGTCACAACATGCACGCGGACAATGGAGGCGACATCGCTTTTCCGTTATAGCTCATATGGTAATATCCACCCGGGACGTTGTTATCCTTTACACTTAACTGTGTGCGCGATATCTCAGGGTAATGCTCATATCTAGCCTCTAGTTAAGAACCGCGCTCATAAACGCCGCAGACTATAAAAATGTCCATGAGAAGACAGGATATGAGGTAACCTATTGGTCCAAACCTGTTCTTCTTTATGTCGGTCTCTCGATTTGCAGCCAGATAATTATGACAGGTCGTATAAGGTTATGGTCCTTTCCCAAAGTCAGGTGGGTTGGACACTGACAGTTAGGATAATTACACAGCAAAACCCCGACGTTTATACTAATAGGAAAACGGCTAGAGTGGCAGTCCTCATCAGTATGGTGGGTCGAGTATGCCGTGTTGAAGGAGCAAAGTCTGTGCACTACGATAGCGTGAGGCTCAAGCTACCACTAGGAGCGCTAATGTCTCGCTGCATGTATGCTAGTCAGTTCATTCATGTGCGCGGGTCTATGCGATCTCAAAGAAAACAACAAGCAAAGGTGAGTATGTACTTTCACTTCAAATCGATACGTTCAATAAAATAATATTCCTTTTGGCATACACTGGACAAACTCTCGCTCTCTCTTCTACGTGTGTGTGCGTTTGCATCTCTCTCACACACTCTCTCTCTCTCTTCTTCTCTCTCTCCGCTCTCTCTCTCTCTCTCTCTCTCTCTCTCTCTCTTCTTCTCTCTCTCTACTCTCTCCTCTCTCTCTCTCTCTCTCTCTCTTTCTCTCTCTCTCTCTCTCTCTCGTCTCTGATCTCTCGCTCTCTTCGGCTCTCTCGTCTCTCTCTCTCTCTTCTCTTTTCTCTCTCGCTCTCTCTCTCTCTCTCTCTCTCTCTCTCTCTCTCTCATCTCTGCTGGCTGGTGGAAAACAAGCACTGTGATGATCATGTGTGTTCACGAACTGATGTGTGCTTGGTGTAGTGCAGTCTCGGAAATGTGGTGGCTCTGGTATGTGTATGCCGCGACCGTGACGTGCTGCTGCGTGCGTGGTGTGTAACCTGTGGGGTGGGTTCGCGTCGCGCGCAAAAGTGTGAGTATGTTACTTTGTCACTTCAATCGGATACGTTCAGATAATATTATTTTCAGTTTATTTTTGGCACTACACTGCGACAAACTCTCGCTCTCTCG